TGGAGTCCATTTTGGAAAAATTACCTTGAATTCTCCTGTCTAGAGGTCTCTGTTGTCCTCCCTACCTACAATACCACACACTGCCCATCCAAATCAGCTCCATGGGCCTTCAAGTACCAGCTCAAACCTCCATGAATTCAATTCAAAAGAAATGGTTCCCCCCTCTGAATAAAGATTTACACACCATCTGCACTCTATTGCTTACTGCTCCGTTTTTGGTGGTGTCTATTTTTCCTTTGTCCTATATCTCCACCTATGCAGGGATAGGACTTTGCTTCATGATTCATCCCGTCCTCTAGTATTAAATATGTACTGCTCAGTAAAAGTGTTTACTGTGTGGTTAAATATTTGATGAAACCACACAAGTCTCTAAAAGGATATTAAACAGCTTTAAAATAGCTCAATCACATAATTTAGGTGGAAAAGGGTTTGTGATACTTATTTAGTGCACAAGTTTTATTGAATCCCTTGGAATTAATGGCATGAAGCAGTCACTTTTATTGCTGTGATTAAGGATGATGTCAAGAAGATAAATGTATGGTAACTCGGACATAACTACCTGTCTGACACTTTGTATCTGACAGGAAGTCTGGGATATCTTCATGTGGGTGTACATGTGTTTGTTTTATGAGTATTTTCAGTACTGGGTCTTGTGCTTAAGCACAATAATTAGCATAACATTCATCATCCACAACAGAGGTCACTATTAAAAATTTTTCCTAAACTGACCATTTCAAGATTTTATTTTATTTAAGAAAATTCCATTTTTCTAATTTTAATTGTTTTATTATTGTGTATGATAGGGTGAGGGGGGACATGCTACGATGTGCATGTGGAAATCAGAGGACAACTTTGTAGAGTTGGGTTCTCTCCTTCCACCTTGACATGGGTCCCAGGGGTCAAATTCAAAGCTTGTACAGCAAGTGTTTTACCCACTGAACCAAGTTGTCAGTACTCCATTTCAAGATTTTATTACAGACAACTTCATACATGGATTTAAGGAAATAGAAAAAGTCAAAACCAAAGTTATTTTCCCATCATTATCTAAATAGCCACCTGGAAGCTTTTTCCAGTAACAAAAGGAACAAGATCCTTGGCTTGCATCCTACCTTGTCCACATGGGACTTCTGAATGCTGGGCCTTAGAACTTCTACTAAACAAACTTAAAACACCGTGATTAGTCCAAAGCTGGCTGCGAGGCACAGGGCATTTTGGACCTGGATTGCCCCTAGGCAGCACTGGATGTGACAAAAAAGTGATAATACTGGATTCCTCAGCTGAATCACATCAGGTTGTCAGGGGAACCCAGACTACCCGTCCAGTCCACTGCTTTTAGTATCATTCTGTCAGCATCATCCTCTCCCATTGCCCTCACAGTGATTATACTAATCACTGAGGTCTAATCCCCCCAAAGTTTAACTCAATCCTCTGAATTGTCTTTAGTAAGGATAATCCAAAGGAAAGGAGGTAGGTGTGGTAGTACATCCTCCATCCTCATCATCCAAGCACTTGGAAGGCTGAGGAGAACCACAAATTACCAAATGAGACCTTGTCTCAAAAAAAACTTGAATAAAAATTACATATACACAAATATATATATATA